TGACGGCGCAGTGGGCAGATTAAGGGGCGGTGATATTATAATGAGATCCCTTTGCCACGTCACCAAGGGAGCAAAATCAGACGCGCTCGTTTTCTCAGATACTTGCAGAAAAAGGCTTCCCAAAACTAAGTGACTGGGTTAATCTTTTTCACGTTTGCTTGGTTGGTAGATGCACCGGGGACCTGATTATAGCACTTAAAACCTGGAAAAGTCAGATTTTCATGATATGTCACCTTTAAAAGCATTCTCAATTCTTTTAATTTTTCAAATAATACATAATTCTACTCAAACACACACAGTATAAGAGTGTTTAGACATTTGTACAGAAAAACAAGACAAAAATACTGAGGAAGAACATCATTAATAGTTTCTTTCATGAAACACCAGAAGAGCGAATCGTTTCTTGTATGTAAATTGTTGCGTGATGCAAAACGTGCGTAAATCATTTGTCAACACGAGTAGAACAGATTTCTGTATAAATCATTTAGAAAACTGAGTTAGTCCAATCCGAATCTGTTCACTAGTTAGTTAGTGGTCACTGGTTAGTAGGTTTATTGAGTTAACCGTGTGCCTCTTTGTCTGTTTAAGGGGTATCTGGGTCTTCCAGGAGGTCCTGGGGATTTCGGCCCACAAGGTCCACCAGTAAGTTTTCCCATGATCCTCTGCGGTTTGAGATGCAAATTTTGGGGTGAAAGATTGAGGTTGAGTATCTTTCCACTTGAAAGTTGAAATTTTACTTTGTCTCTTTCTGTCTGTCTCTTTTTCTCAAGGGTCCACAAGGGCCGAGAGGAGCAGCAGGCCTTCCCGGGCCGAAAGGGCGAAGGGTAAGATGAAACGTGAAAGAAATGCATGCTTTTTTTGTGTAGCTAATGATGTCGATGCAGCTAGAACTAAGCAAACTGAAATCTGAACTGGAGTAGAGAGATTTGATTGGTGGAAACCTTTGATTGACAGCAGATTTGGGTGATTGTTACCAAGAAATAACCAGGTATTTCAACTCAGATTTATAACATGACACAGAAGAAATCATAATTTAATATAATTTAATTTTTTATAATATCAAGAAAATTAAGTATTTTTTTTAAGACCATTAATATTTTGTTGCTTTATGGCTGTATTTTTATGACAATTTATTATTGAATATAATGTCACAATGCATTAATGATCCTAAAAATGCTTAAGTGTAATGCATTCAGCTCTCTCTCTGTTTTTAGTGTTTTGCTGACCGAGTGAATCATGTTTATAGATAAACCACAGGGACCTCTAGTGGTCAAACAGAATATGATGTATGTATACGCCTGACCATCACCAATCACCACTAATAGTCATTATTACACACTTAATTGAGTGGCCAATTCATCTGAATCCATTTAAGAATATAAATATATTTATAATTAATTTTATTATCATTTTTGTACTACTATGCTCTGCATTTCTGCATTTTAATTTTAGTAATTTTTTTAATTGTTGTGTTTTTGTCATTTTTATTAGCTTTTTTTTATATATATATATATATATGTCTGTAAAAAAAAACACTTCAGTTTTTCTTCAAAATTTCATGTTTAATTCAATGTGTTACTTGGAGTTACTACAAATGTTTTTTCAGTGTATTTAGTTTTTTTTTTCTTTTTCGTTTTATTGTTTAGTTTTAGTTGATTTAGTTATTTTGGTACTTATTTTGATTTGTATTTTTTAAATATTTTATTTTATTTCCAGTTTAATATGTGTAATGATTTCTGGCTTTTTACCTTCTAGTCTTCGTTGGGAAATTGAATTAATATTTATGTTTATATTCATTTTTATATTTTTATTTATATTATTTATATTCTGAATTACTTTTTTTCTGATTAAAACTGGCAGAAAAAAAGTAATTTTTTTAACGTTTAAAAAAAATAACATTTAAAATGTCTAATGTATGTAACAAAGAGGGTAACTGTCTTAAAAGTACAGTAGCAAAAACAGCCGGTTTAATTAATAACAGGTCAATGTGAGGGTAAATGTTTAAGGTAAACTCAATTACTTGCAGGAACCTTGACTAACATAATAAATGGGAAGAGAAAGAGCATGTTTGACATGAGTCCTAATGACACAGGATGAAGTCAGTCAGAGGCCACAGAAGCTGATGAAAAGAGGTTTGAGGTTCACGCCAAACTCTGCAATTAAGAGAACGTTCCCCTCCGTTCTGTTTATATAAAACAGTGCAGATCTCATTTAATGATGGTGAGAATGGGTGACTTAAAACCCCCTTGTGAAAAACATGACAGATAGATCGCTTACACATCCTGAGAGTCTCCGTTCATGAACCCAAAGTCAACAGACGAGACTCTTTGGCTCTGTGCCTCTGCTCCAAAACCTAGGAAATGCAAATGCAGCGGCTGTTCAATACATTATAGTGTCTTTTAAGATCCCTTATTTTGGTTCAATTCTAAAGCAGCATTGCATGGCAATCTGAAAATGCACTGCAACAAGCTCAGTCCAAGATTGTGGACAAAATGAGAGACATTTTGTAATATTTATCCCTTTAATTCATTCAGTACTGAAAAAAAAATAGAGTGAATTGAATTGTTTAATGATATGTGATATTTGTGTTTCTTACTATTATTTATATACTATTGTAGGATTTATTAATATTTTGAATTGGCTCTTATTTTTATATTTTTAGTTTTCATTTTAATTTTAGTTTAATCTTTTGTAGTTTTGTTATGTGCTTCCGTCATGTTTATTAATTTTTGTTATTAATGTTCATAATTAGCTTTAATTTATTTTCATTTTGTTTTCATTTTAGTAATTTTAGTTTAAGTTTTAGTAATTTGTTATGTGCTTTTTATCATTTTTATTATTATTTTTTTATTAATATTTCTATCTAGCTTTAATTTGTTTTCATTTTTGTTTTAGTAGTTTTAGTTATGCGCTTCTGCCATTTTTATTAGTTTTTCTATGATATTTTAGCTTTAATTTATTTTTATTTTTATTTTAGTAATTTTAGTTCTTCAACTTAAGATAGTTTTCAGTAATTTTAGTTAAAGTTTTAGTAATGTTCCTTTGTGCTTTTATAATTTTTATTAGTTTTCTTTAAATATTTCTATTTAGCTTTATTTTATAATTTTAGTAATATTGTTTCTTCAGCTTATTTCAGTTAGTTGCCAATACAATATTTTTGTAAAAGTTTTAAGTTAAAAGTTACTGTAAGTTTTGATGTTACAAGTTTAATAATATGCTTTCTAAAGTTCTCTAATATATTTTATATTATATTTTATCATTTATATTTTCAAAAATTAGTTGCCAATGCAACATTCTCTAAGTTTACGTTACTGTACATTTTGATGATATGTTTAATATAATACACTTAATACATTTTCTAATATATTTTATATTTTATTTTATAATTCATATTTTATATTTTATTTTGTCAATATATTTTACTTTGTCAATTAATGAAAATTATTTTTAATAGTTTTAGTTTTAGTTCACAATTACAATGCTAACTAATGCTAATACATATCACATATTAGTAACATCCTAACACCAAACTATTACAATCCATAGTGCGTTGCATCTCTTGTGAGCCTCAGTGGTCTATATAGTGTGTTCCAAAGTGGTCACTAATGAGGTTGCATCTCGATTAGTGTGCCTATGTAGACAGTAGACAACAGACAGCGAGGCAGCACACTAGTTTGTGTAACAGATCCTCTCTGTTTTGGTTTAGTTTGGCTTGTCCTTGATTCTCGGTGTGTTTGGTCTGGCATGTGGCGTCTCACCCAGCTGGACTGTTTATGAGGATGAACTTGATGTAATAAATCTAATAGATTTTGAGCTATTTGGCTTTTCATAACATGTTGTTTCAGACTAGTGGAAAGAAAACATCCAAAATATACTTTTAGGTTTATTTTATTGCGCGTTAACCATTTGCATTTGTAGATTTCAATTTCAATACATATCTTTAAAGAGTTTTTTCTCCACTTCAGCAGCACTTACAAACACCAAACTTAGCAGTTTTATTCCTCTCTATATTCTGAAGGTTTTTACTGAGGGGTTTGTTCATATATCATTCACATGGTTTTATACAACAGTTTATTCCAAAAAACATGGTGAAAATGTATTTTTTCTGGCTGTTTACAGTATTTTCTGATTTATGAAGTGATAAAAAGTGATATCCAAAATCCCCTCTATAAAATCTTTTAACTCTAATATGGAGCTCCATCATTCATTAGTTGTTAAAACGCCTGAGGTTGGATCCACAAATCTGGTCTGATTCACTGCACTATGGATCTATAGATCACAGACTTCTGCTTCATCTCAAACCACACATCATGTAGATTTAAACCACAGACAGGTTTGAGCTCATTGTGGTTCAGAGGAGGTGAGTGAGCTTCAGTTGAACTCTTTGACGTGTGTTTGTGTTTGTGTTTGTTTGTAGGGTAAAGCTGGAGCTCCAGGGAAGAGAGGAGCAGCAGGAGCGCCTGTAAGTCTCGTTCTAACAATTGTGATGCTACTATCTTTATTTCAAACTCAAAAGTATCAAACTAATGTCATTAAAATAGAACAGTATGTTGCCAAAAATATTGTTATTTTTGTTTAAATAAATATTATTAATTTAAAATACTATTTAAAAAAAAAACTATTTATTGAATACTATTTTCTTTTAATACTCAAAAGTATTGAAATAATTATATTAAAATACAGTGTGTTGCTAAAATTTTTATTATTTTTATTTAAATAAATACTATTATTTTATTTGAGTGCTCAAATGTATTAAAATAATCATAATAAAATAGTAAAATATGTTGCCAAAAATACAATTATTTTTGTTTAAATAAGTATTGTTGTTTTCTTTTAATACTCAAAAGTATTAAAATAGTTGTATTAAACTATGTTGCCAAAAATAATATTATTTTGTTTAAATAAGTATTGTTGTTTTCTTTTAATACTCACAAATATTAAAATAATAATATTAAAATAGTAAAATGTGTTGCCAAAAATACTATTAAAAAAAACTATTTATTGAATACTATTTTCTTTTAATACTCAAAAGTATTAAAATAATCATATTAAAATATAGTATGTTGCCAAAAATGCTATTATTTTTGTTTAAATAAATTGCATTATTTTATTTTATATTCAGGCATTTAAACAATCTGACTAAAATAGTAAAATATGTTGTCAAAAATACTTTTCTTTTTTTTTTTCTTTTTTAAATAAATGCTATTTTTTTGTTTTAATGATCAAAATGATTGAAATAATTGTTAAGGAACCAGAATTGTAAAGTGGAGTCTCCTTATGATTCCCATCCCTATTTATCACATATATATAGCAGCTGTGTCTAGCGTCTGTGTTTTTCCTGTGATAAAGCACGAGTGTGTTTGCTGTCATTTCAGACTAGTGGAAAGAAAACATCCAAAATATACTTTTAGGTTTATTTTATTGCGCGTTAACCATTTGCATTTGTAGATTTCAATTTCAATACATATCTTTAAAGAGTTTTTTCTCCACTTCAGCAGCACTTACAAACACCAAACTTAGCAGTTTTATTCCTCTCTATATTCTGAAGGTTTTTACTGAGGGGTTTGTTCATATATCATTCACATGGTTTTATACAACAGTTTATTCCAAAAAACATGGTGAAAATGTATTTTTTCTGGCTGTTTACAGTATTTTCTGATTTATGAAGTGATAAAAAGTGATATCCAAAATCCCCTCTATAAAATCTTTTAACTCTAATATGTCAACAAAATCAAACAAGAATTTTGAATCTGGCTTTATCCAATGTTCAGATTTATCTTCTGGAATTTTATGAAAGTTAGTGCATATTCAATTAGATCATGCATCATTTGCACATTTAAACATAACACTTTAGAAAACTTCTAATACACAATATTTTCCTCCAATTCTTAATGTAATCAATCAACTGGTAAGTATGGTGATATCTATTAGTTAATTTTTTACCCCGTTCACCTGTTGTGTTTTTGTCTTTTAGGGCCCGAGGGGACCTGACGGTCCTCCAGGAGAGCCGGGCCCTGAGGGCATAAAGGTACCAGCATCGCTACAGACCAAAAACATATACAAACATAGACAATCATATAGGCATGTAAAAGTTAAACTCTGTTGTTCTGGGAAAACATTGTGATCATTAATGTCCCTGTGTCGTACACCAACTTCCTGTTTCAAGAGGAAACAGATCACACATGATAGAAAACTGCACTTTCATGGTGCCTTTCACACCACTACAAAACCCAAAACAATTGCATTGCGATTTGCATTACAGAGCTACTGCAGACACACATCACACATGCTTGACAGCTCAACTGCTGTTGTTTTGCAGGGTGAAAAGGGATCTCCAGGGAACAATGGACCTCCGGGATTCATCGTAAGCAACTCTAAACACTTGAAAATCAAATTTTAACATTTAGATAAAATTGTCCCCAGAAGTTGAGACAAAATCTTCACTTGGGACGTCTTCATATGGAAAAACTATTCACACTTAAAATAATGTGCATTTTTAGGGTTTGTACAAATCAGAAGTCATCTTTATATAAAAACAATCGTCGTATTTGATATGTCCTCAGTTAGATGAGCTAGATAAACGTGTGTTTCTGCAGATTGGAAAAAATAAAGCTAATAAAAATATTTTTTGGTAACTGAAATTAAGCTGAAAGAAAATCTAAATATGTGATGGAAAAACTTTTAAAAAAGAGAAATGTTGCCTTGGCAACTAACTGAAACAAAATAAGTAATTAATTTGAAATACTACAATTACTAAAACTAAATAAAAAAAGACATTAAATAGAAATGTTTTTTAAAAAAATACAATCCAAAAATACTATTAAAAAAAACTATTTATTGAATACTATTTTCTTTTAATACTCAAAAGTATTAAAATAATCATATTAAAATATAGTATGTTGCCAAAAATGCTATTATTTTTGTTTAAATAAATTGCATTATTTTATTTTATATTCAGGCATTTAAACAATCTGACTAAAATAGTAAAATATGTTGTCAAAAATACTTTTCTTTTTTTTTTTCTTTTTTAAATAAATGCTATTTTTTTGTTTTAATGATCAAAATGATTGAAATAATTGTTAAGGAACCAGAATTGTAAAGTGGAGTCTCCTTATGATTCCCATCCCTATTTATCACATATATATAGCAGCTGTGTCTAGCGTCTGTGTTTTTCCTGTGATAAAGCACGAGTGTGTTTGCTGTCAGGATGTGTGTGTGAGGTGTGTGTCGAAGCGTTTACTGTTCACACTCGCCTGTTGAAGCCTGAGGGGTTTTAATGCTCTCGAGCTCACAGCATCCTCTAGTGGCTGATGGTGAATGTGAAGTTTTGGCATCTGTGCAGTTCGGTGTTTCACAGACTCATTAAAGCGCTGCGGCTTCATTCATAACTCAGATGATTTATGATGTTTAAACCGCAGGCTTCCTGTGAACAGATAAACACTGCTTTAATGCTGCAGATGGGTGATGATGTGATCCAGTGATACACCTCACTGATAATAGTGAATAATAGTGAATCAGAGCACTAGGATATGCAAATACTGTCAGCCATGATTGGTGAATGTTGACAGACTGTTAGCGGCACATTCAACAGCAAAATATACACTAGTGTTCAAACGTCAAACGGTCTGTAAGATTTTTTGATGTTTCTAAAATAAGTTTCTTCTGCTTACCAAAGGTGCATTTATTTGATCAAAAATACAGTAAAATTGTGAAAAATTATTAAAATTCAAAATAACTGTATTCTATTGTAATGTATTGTAAACTGTAATTTATTGCTGTCATCAAACACGAATTTTCAGCGTCATTACTCCAGTCTTCAGGGTCACACGATCCTTCAGAAATCTTATGCTGGTATGGTGTTATATTGGATTTAAAAAATAAATAAAATAAAATCTAAGCAAAATATGTTGCCAAAAAATAATATTTTTACTTAAATAAATACTATTACATTTTTTTAATACTCAAAAGGTATTAAAATAATAAAATAAAAATGGTAAAATATGTTGCCAAAAATATGATTATTGTTGTTGAAATCAATCCTATTATTCATATTAAAATGGTCATAATGTTGCCAAAAATGATTTTTCTTTTGTTTAAATAAATACTGTTATTTTAATAATCAAAACTATTAAAATAATTGTGTTAAAATAGTAAAATATGTTGCAAAAAATGATTTTTCTTTTATTTAAATAAATAGTATTAATTTATTTTTATACTCAAAAATATTAAAATAATGACCTTAAAATAGTGAAATGTGTTGCCAATATTTTTTTGCTTAAAATACTATTTTTAATACTCAAAGATATTAAAACAATTGTATTAAAATATTAAAATATGTTGCCAAAAATAGTATGATTTATATTTAAATAAATACTATTTTTTTATACTCAACGGTAATAAAATAGTTGTAGTAAAATAGTAAAATATGTTGCCAAAATATCTTTCTTTTAAATAAATACTATTATTTGATTTTAATATTTAAAAAAGTATTAAAACAGTTGTATTTAAATAGTAAAATATGTCGCCAAAAAATATTTTTATTTAAATAAATACTTTTATTTTATTTTAACACTCAGTTATTAAAATAATCGTATTAAAATTGTAAAATGTGTTGCCAAAAATATTAATTTTGTTTAAATAAATACTATTATATTTTAATATTCAAAAGAATTAAAATAATCATATTAAAATGCTAAAATATGTTGCCAAAAGTACCTAGTTTGCTGTCTGCTGCCTACATAGTCAGCTGCCTTCTAAGGCAACATCTGAACTGTCATGAAACCTTATAAGTGACTGATCTGGAAACTCACAATCTAATACAGTGTGTTCATCATCATCATCTTTAATGCTAGCCAATTATTATCCCTGAGTGGATTTATCGTGACTTTATTTCCTTGAATATGAAGCAAGTGAAGTGAAGGTGTAGTTGAGAGGGTCACATATGGAAGCGTTTATGACTGTTATTAATGCATCTTTGTGTAAGTTATATTTACTGCTGGAAAATGAAGTGCACTTATGACTTTTGATGAATGGGGTGATAAAAATGGGCTGTTGATGTTATTAAAGCAGTGTGTTGGTTTGAGCAGTCATGGAAACTGCGTCTCTGTTGTGGGAACAGTGAGATCTCACTGAGAACTGCTCTGATAACACAGGTGCATGTTAAAGCCAGCGGTTCCTGTTTCTCAGCGTAGCAGTGTCTGATAAAGACGGAAAGAAAAACAGACGAAAATAAGAGCAGAAAGGCTGTGGGTCCCTGCTGGCGTACATCTCCATCATAGAAACAAACTCAAACTCAGACGTTTCCATTCTGTAAAGCAGCTATGTTTTACAACTAAATCAGATGTGTAAAATATGTAGCTTGTGTTATTATTTCTGTACTTGTATTTCTCAGATTTTGCTCTTTCGCAGCTCATTTACAGTAGATTTCATTCACGTATCACTTTTGTCTCGGATGTTTGTCCTAAAATTCCTTTGGGGAAATAAAAACACACAGATGGGTCACTAGTTGTCATGTACAAGTTTAGAAACTGTGAAATGAATGTGGAAAGCAGCTCAGATCATTTGATGAGAAATTTGAGCACAGTTTGAGACATTTAGGATCTCTGAAACTCTAGAGGAGTTTTATATATATATAATATTATATTTTATAAATTTTAGTATTTGGAATTAGATGTAATTTTTGTATTTTCCCCTTTCATTTTAATTTTAGTTAAATTGTTTGTTGTTTTGTTGAGTGTTTTTGTCATTTTTATTAGTTTTTTTAAATAGTTTTTATTCATTTTTAATTCCGTTTGAATTATTTTAGTACATCAGGTTAAAAGAAAATGAGACATGTTGATTTGGCAACTAACTGAAAAAAAGTGTTTATTTAATTTTATTTCAGTTAACGTTTATTTTATTTCAAGTAAAAAAAAAATATGGTTTAAGATTTGGTGAACTAAATTAACCATGTACTTGGCTTTTTTTCACAGGAGAAACATCTGAGACACAGGAGACATTTGCAATATATTTATTCTCATTGCCATCTAAGAAAATCAATGACATTATTAGAGATCTCATTTGTGATGTTTCTGTTCTATGGGACGTTTTTTTAAACTGAATAATGTGTAATCTGACTTCATGAAGTCTAAACATGTATATTAATCACATATTATATATATATATATATAAATGAATTAGCTGTATTTTATTTTACATTTTTATTTTACTTATGTTAAGCTTTAGTAGTTTTGTTGAGCATGTTTGTCGTTTTATTAGTTTTAAATATTTCTATATAGCTTTAATTTTATTTCATTAATTTTAGTCATTTTAATACTTAAATGTCTACAACACTTCTAATTTTCGTTAATTTTGACGTTTTTTAAAGAGAATAATTTAATCTAAATTTTATATTTTATTTTATTTCAGCTTTATTCCAATTTTTTGTTGAGCATGTTTGTCTTTTTGTTAGTTTTAAATATTTCTATATAGCTTTAATTTTATTTCATTAATTTTAGTCATTTTAATACTTAAATGTCTACAACACTTCTAATTTTCGTTAATTTTGACGTTTTTTAAAGAGAATAATTTAATCTAAATTTTATATTTTATTTTATTTCAGCTTTATTCCAATTAACAAAAATGATTTTTTAATAGTTTGTTTAAACAATAACAACCTGATTAAGTAAACGGCATGCATTTAAATAAAAAAAGTTTTGGACTGCAATAAAGTGGCATGATGTCTGAGTGTAGACAAGCAAAAATAAAGATCTAAAACTTCATCAACTGAAGGGTATTAATTTGAACATGACTGAATATGACTAGCAATGTGCTAAACCTTCAGAAATGTGCGCTATATAGTCTCAGCAAGCATGCATGACGTGACTCATTGATGCATCTTTCCTGTGTAACACATGTAAGTCATGATGTGAAGACCTCCGAGGGTTTGTGAGGCATTTCCTGCGTTGAGCGCCAGGGTTTTGTGTCTTTACATCTAAACATGTAATCAGCCGTTCTGTAAGCAGATGAAAGATGTTTAACAGCGTCTCTGGAACGGGTTCATGTTTCCAGTCTTTGATCCCATGTGCATCTGAATGTCCTCATGTTGACACGCGATTATGTGCACATAGAAACATGCATCAACATATGGACACTCACTTTTATGCTGTTCACATGTGCATTAAAACATGCAAGGTGAAATTCACCTCTAGTTAGGCATAATCGTAAGATCCTTTCACATCCAGCGCCAAGGGCGATTCATGTAAATATAATTTATAATATCAAAACAAGACTGCTTATGAGAAAACTGTTTGTTTTGGGGGGAATTGTGCGTGATTTCATATTTACATCATATTTATTTGATTATTTTAAGGGCTCCAGAGGCCCCCCAGGGCACCCGGGACCAGATGGAGAGCAAGGTCACGAGGTACATCCTGAAAGAAACAGAATTTTTGTGTGTAATGGATTTCTTCTGTGCTCAATTATGCAATAACATGCAAATTAAATGAGGGATAATTCTTTACAGTGCCGAGTTACCTAATACTGTTGAATTCAATATAGATTACAGGCTCCCTAAGAAGTGTAAAAACACATGGTGCACTGCAGAACCGTTAATAATTGCACATTTTAATCATTTAGTAAATTAATTATGTTGCATGTTATTTAATTTGGCTTTATTTCTGTGTTTAGGATCTGATATATGAGTATGTTTGTGTTATTTTGACTTCTTGTTTGCTGGTGTTTTTCCCTCTTATGTGCATGCACAGGGACCTCCAGGACCTGAAGGAGAGCAGGGACCTGTGGGTGAACCTGGGATCAAGGTGAGGCAAAACTCTTAACCCTGTAAAGCCTGACATGTAATAATAGTCAGAAATGGAAATTTAAATGGAACAGATGATTGAAACTTTAGATTAAAATATTAAAAGAAAATGTGCATATGTGGTTTTTGTTGAGTATCATATTTGATGCATCAGGCTTTTACGACACATATAGTCTGATAGAGTGAGAATATGAAGAGAAAAACAGCTTGATTTTATTCAGAGACTCAAACTGAGCAAGAATATGCTATTTGGTGCAGATGTTGCTATTTATATGGACAAAAGTAAGATGAAATTCTGATGCTTATAATGTAAATCAGTGAGATCTTTATAACAGTACAGCAGATACTGACATAAAATGATATAAATATCAGTCGTCACTCTATATCTCCAATAATATATCAAATGAACAAATAAAGGCTCCTCAGAAGATGTGAGATGTTCTGGAGGCTTGTGAAGATCATTCCTCCGCTGAGGAACAGTGAAAGTAAAGCTTCTGGAAACAAACGCTCCTCAAAAGATCCTGAGGATCAGATTTGAGACTCTAAAACATGATTGATGGAGAATCAAGTAAAGCTGAGCTGCTTCAGTCCAGTAAGTGTTCATCTGGAGATATTACTGCAGTTATTCTGACGCTTACTTGATAAAAACCAGTCAAGATCTGACAGCAGAAAGACACGTTTGTGCAATTACACTAAACAAGCTTTTACTGGATAAAAAAACTCTATAAATCAGATGACAGAAGGCATGGAGTAGATTGTGCAACAGGTTTTTCAGCAATGTTTCGATCGTGTTGATCATTTAGAGGCCTTTCCGTATCAAATATGATACAGTAGGCTTTATAGACTTAAAGAGATCCAAAAATTACCATCTTTCTAATGTCGTATTAATTACATTTGCTGTGGAACTCAAAAGGAGACGTTAAGCAGAATATCCAAGCTGCCGTTTACAATTAAATACAATGGAAACGGATGATTTATACTGACAAGCTCCAATAATAACAGTATTAAAGCGAGAACTGTTGGCATTTTCAACTGTGTCTTTCTGTCTTTTTCCAGGGTGAAATGGGGCCTGTCGGAGAAGAGGGTGAACTGGGCCAACCGGGCATCAGAGTGAGTGAACCGACCTCATTCCTGCTCCAAAATGTCCAAGTGAACGTGATCCATCAGTGTATTTTCATTGCTTTAACTCATGTGAGCCAAACAGTGTCAATAATCTGACAGAAGGACCCTCAGGCTCACACACACTGAACGTCTTTGTCTCTGGTTCAATTATTCAAGCAATGCTCTGTGTTTGTTATTGGATATTATGACATCGGGAGCAGCGTCCTAACTTAGTGAATCTCATGAAACCTTTCGTGCATTTTTCCGGCTCGTGTTTCATCCCAAAATAAATCATAAATTCATTCCCATTACTGCATTGTGGGAAAAAATAAATGTTAATGTAATGGTAATGGTAAGTAATAGTTAATAGGAAAAACAAATAAGCACATTTCTGCAGCAGTTTCAGCTGGTGTGTGGGATGAATCCCATGATGCTTTTCTGCATTTAAAACCTGGTCTAACATGCTACTGTTTGTTTTAGGGTCCTCCAGGGCCACCTGGAGAGGATGGGCATCAAGGGAAGGATGGACCAAAGGTGAGACTCCAGATTAAATTCTCTACTTGCATTTACATCGAGGTTGATGCATTTATCCGAAACGACTTGCACTGCATTTATACATATTATTATGCATTTCCTGCAAATCAAACCCATGACCCTGTTGTTGCTAGCGCCATGCTTTTATCATTTGGGCAACAGGAACACTTTTACGCTTGAACATTTTTACTCGTAATACAATAAAATGATAAAAGGGATTTTGAGATTTACTATTTTAGCATTTTATTTCATTTATTATTTTATTTTTGCATTCTATTTGATCTATTTTAGAGAATGATGAGAAATGCATAATGCCTTGTCTTGTCAAACCTGTCGCCTTGTAAACCATTTTCTGGCAAGTTTGATCAATATACTTGTAAAAAGTGATTTATTAAATGTATATAAATAACTAAATAAAACAAAGTTTATTGGAGTACATTTTACAAGAAAATACTTCTTTCAACTTCAAAATTGCATGTTTAATTCAATGTTCGTTTGTAATTATTTGTGAAATTTATTAGCAATTTCAGAGTCTAAATTATTCAAATTGAAGTAAATCTTTAAATTGTTTTTCAGTATATTCTGCATCAACAGTTCACAAATTGTGTAAAAACTGTTTGCTGCTAATTTTTTCTTTGGTCGGCCCAGCATGCACTTGGGTACACATTAGGGGTTGAACGACTTCTGATTTTTTAAAGTCGAATTTTATGTGATGAAAGTCGAGTCGAAGTCGACTAGTCGCTGATGACGTCATTAATGAACAAATAAGTCTGGAGCTTATCAGCATCGTTATATTTCTCACAGATTTCTGCTCATTCTAAATCAGATACAGATAAAGTAGCACAGTAAATATTACATTAATATGAATGCATTAGTGAGAGCGATTGCTTGTGTGAATTAATTCTACCTGGCAGCATCTCTCTACTAGTAGTGAAGCTGTGGCATTTAGTTATTAAGAAATATATGCTTGAACTTCTCAGTTTCTAAGCTATTTTACTGAGAAATCACAGAACAGTGTTGACAATACATCTCCGCGCTGAATGATTCTGTGCGCGTGATGTACGCGCTACTGTCTGTAGCCTATGTGTGTGTGTTACAGTGCAGCAGCGCATTAGATTAGAACGGTGATTAATTTACCTGTACAATAAGCTGTTTAAAACGTGCATTCTCCTGTTCAACTTCGAGCATCCAGTAATATAATCACACATGTCTTGTGCATTTATTTGTCATTTGAACTGTTTGGAAACGGAGCGTAAATGTGGAAGTCCTTCAAAGATTTCTTATCCTGTTGCGCCCTCTATAGGACCAGCGACTAGTCGACGTCAAGCTTAAAGCGTCATGGCAGAGCATTGAAGTCGACTAGTCGATTAGTCGGTGCAACCCCTAAT